TGGCCCCCGGGCCCTGGGGTGCCGGCCTGGGGGCCCCAGCTGGGGCAGGCCCTGGGGGCGTCTCCAGCCCGCCAGGAGCCACGGTGACCGACCCTACCCAAAAGACCCTAATCTGCTCTTTTTCCCCCCATCGTGGACTCGCCGGCGTGGCGCCAGCCGAGGACGCAAGGAGCAAGTAACGCCTTTCGGGGTCACCCCACCATCGGCTCAGCCACAGTCTGAGGAAGAGCAGGTGTCGGCATGAGCAGGCATGGCGGGCAAGGAACAAGCCACCGGGGAGGAGCGTCTCATTGGGCCGCCCATCAGAGGAGCGTTTTAAGGAGAGCTCTGGAGGAGACAAGTGGGGGGTTCCGTGGCACGCGGCAGCGGAGCGGGAAAACATTTTTCCCACCAGCTTCGCTCTTCGGCGACGGCTGCTTGTTGGGCACAAAAGCGCGGGGAAAAGTGCTGCCGCGGCGTTATTTCCAGGCAGTGTCTGTTATCAACTGCCAGCAGGTTTGGGAAGTCTGTGCAATCAGGAAATGATCGCACGACAGCTCAGGTCTTTCCACACCTCCGATAACGCTGTGTGCCGAAATCCTCAGCCTGGGAGGCACAGGGGGCATGGCGCGCCGTGACGTAAATAACCTTTGGTCAGAACTTGCTGAGGTCCCAGCCTGCCCGGGAGCTGCGGAGCCGCACCCCGGCGTGCCGGGCTGCTTCGACGTGAGCGGCTTCACCCCGCTCCAGCTGGGCTGCTGAAAACACAGGTGTGTTTAGGGGAAGGAGCACCATATCCTGCTGATAAGGCTCTTACCTTTGCACTCCCGAGCCAAACAGAGCAATTGCACCTTCTTCAAATGATACCTGGAAACGATACTACTGAAAATAGTATTTTGTTGCCAAAGCTGCCCGTGTGCCGGGAGCTGTGTGATACCCCGATGTGCTGTGTGCCCCGAGAGCTGCGCTGCTGCGAGCCGGCAAACCAGAGCTAAATGGAAGGAGGCAGCTCTTCCGCGATTCAGCTTAAATAACGCAAGGGTGATTTAAGGTTTACACATGACCCGCTGTTCTCAGCCAAAGCACAGGTCCACGATGCACCGTCCCACATCCTGGCCCTCGCCAGGGCCCGCAGCAGGTGCCCGGGGTTGAGGATAAAGATGGGGCAAGCGGGTAGTGACATTTCCCCGCCTCTGGTGACTCATGGCTCAGGCACGTACAGAGCCAACAATGTGCCTTTGTACTCGGGAGATCTCAATGGATTTCTCTTTCGTGGTCTTGTCTGGTTGGCTTTTGAGCCCATGTAAAGCCCATAAATCCTGAAATAATGAATCCTACAGTTTATCTGCACCTGATGCAAAGAAAACGCCTCCCTTTGTGGGGATTGAACCTGACATCTGCTGGTTTCACTGCATGCCCGCCTGCCATTATAACAAAAAAAATAAATCCAGCCATTATTCATCTCCTCCCCTGCCAGTCAAGATTTGAGAGCCTTCTATCATTTCTGTCAACTGTTTCTTTCCTAGGCTGAGTCAGTGAAACAGCGTTAAGGACTGGACAGTGAAACTTGGCTGGCAAGTGAGTGCTTTGGAGCTAATCCCTGGCGTCACTGTATTTACACCCACAGCTAACTCGAGTACTGCCCAAGCGCTGTCACTAAGAGGCTCCTGTGAATCCCACTCGGCTCTCATATTCTGGCACAAAAACTAATGCCCGACAACGAAACTCAGGTGTGACAATGGCAGGGGACAGGACCCGGAAGGTGTGATGGCGGAGTGCCACCGTGTAGCACAGGCATGAGTTCCCGGTGCCCCGGGGAGCGTGGCTTGGCGGTAGCGCCGGGGCACAGCTCACGTGGCTGCGGAGGGGGCAACAGGATGTGGCGTGTACGACACGTCGGTACCAGCCTACACACCGCTTACAAAGGAGGTAGGGCTGGCGACAGTAGGATCTGCTGGGACAACCCCAGGTACGGGCAGGTGACAAGGGAACGGGGAAAGAGCAGAGCCCAGCAGGACTGAGAGACAGGTGAATCCACCTTAAACCCGCGTGAGACATCTCAGTTCCTCGCACTTTTACAGGGCAGAGCGGAACTCCGCCTGCACAGCTCCCGCTCTGGGTTTGTGTCCATCTCACCACCAAACGTAACAGAGCACGAAGGGAGAGGGAAGGCGGCGATGGGTAAAAATAACCTGTTGTAACTGGGCTTCTGCAATGAATTTGACTTTGTACCCTACGACACCGATTTAAGAACAGGACAGTGCCGCCATGGAATGGTTCCAGGATAAAGAACAAAGACCGTCTTTCTGGCCACCAGGTACTCGGGGCACCAATGACTCTGCGAAAGCCTCAGGGAGAACAGTAGCCAGGTCTCTGGCCAGAAGCTGTCTGCGCAGGTGGTGGTAAAGGGGTTAAAAGTGATTTCTGTCATCTGTCACACTGCTGAGATGGATACTGCACGTCCCATCCCACTGTGGTGGCAGATGGAGAAGAGTGTCTCCAAACGGGGAGGATGCAGAAACAAGGGCTGAGAGATCCGAACACTGAAGAAAAATGCCTTAAATGACAGAGTTGTCCAGCCTGTCTTGCTCTGCCTCTGTGCTCAGAGGGGCTGCGGTTACCACATTTAATGGAAGATGA